CGCGATTCATTCACTTAGTGAGTGTAACCGTTTTTACAGCTCAGTGACACAAGCCGTCAAAAGGCTTATATAAACGCCACAGAATAAGCCTTCAAAGTTCTCAGAGGTGCAATAGCACATTCATATATATGTTTTCGATGCAGAGTGCAAATGGCTGTGCATTTATTTGTGTTTTTAACTCGATGGGAGTGAAATGAAACTGTCTGATACTGTCACCACATATCTACTTCACGATGTGGGAAGATTTGCATAACGCCGCCCAAATGTTCATGCAAAGAAAGAAGGCGTAACTTTTATTCTCGCTGTAGTATTGTTGCTGCCGCCATGTCCTGAAGGCGCTGTGTTTCGTTGTGAAAGCGAAACTACTTTGTTTGGCCTTCCAAAAGAGGACACGACTAGAAATCAGTGGTTAAGTTTTTATTTACAACACTGTTCCAGAACAGTGTAACCTAAATATTCAGATGTGTCCAGCGCATTTTATGGAGGACTGTTTCCTGATCCTGGTAGAGTAGACTACAATGCCGGCTGTTCTGACTCACAGACTGCAAGTACGTTTTTTATATTTAAAGAATTTGCCACTGATGATCCAAACGCGAGTTGTTTGAGCAGTGTAGAGTAGTGCTTGTTGTTTGTCATTTCTCCGATCACAAAAGCAGACATGGTTTAACGCACTGGATAGCTGGCCAGTCACAGCACACCTCGCTTTTCAGACCAATGAGCTTCGTAAAAATCAATGCGTTTCAGAAAGGCGGCGCATAGAGGAGAAACAATAATGTACAGTATGTGGAAAATAATGTGTTTTTTGAACCTTAAACCGCATAAACACATTTCATTACACCAAATACACAAAATAATGTTATTTTTAGCAGCATCATATGACCCCTTTAAAACTGTGGTGAGAACTAACCAGTGCTGAAACGGAGGTTTCATGACCCTTTAAAAACATCTGTATCTATATGTATTCAAAAGTGGTAGATTGTTTTAGTGGGATGCTCGGTCAATATAGCCTAATTTTTTCTTTACTGAAATAAGAAAGCAGTAAAATAAATACACAACCATTTTGATAAAATAATCAGATTTAATAAAGAATTAGACAAATGTGATCCAAAAAAAAAACCTATACAAAAAGCAAGTGATTGAGGTCATGACAAAGATAAACAGCATTGCATGAACAAATTCAGGCAATCAGTTAATATCAATTTACTACCAACAGTCAGATTACAGTGCTTGTTTTCATTAAGATTACATTAAGACTTAGTCTCTCTATCAACACATTTAATTTTGTCTTGCATCAAACCAGCTTTGATTGATCTACAGACATTTAAGGCAAAGGTGACTTTGCTTGGCCCGTTTAAAAAAAAAGTCTGTAGTATACACAGAAATACACCTGGACTGCTTTAACAGTCATTTTATAAAACCCTGAGCTAAAGCTGTCCACTTTAACCTACACAGGAGCAAAGAACATAAGGCCACTTTCTGTTTTTAAAGTGAAAAAAAACAAAACAAAAAAAACAGTATTGAATTTCAGGGCTTCTAGAATACATACAATAAATGTATGGTATTACGTTAGTGTATAAAATATACAGCTTGGAGGGTTATAACACAGGTTATTTTGCTTTGTCAGAGCAAAATAAATTGTATGTAGAGATGCATTGTGTACTGGCTTGAATGGCAAACAAAGACACTTTCCCTTTACATAAAAAAAATAATTATTAAGTACTTCAATACAAAAGTACCTTAATTTTACTAATTTAATGTCATGATCAGAGTACAACAAAAAGTTATTTTGAGTGTGTGAAGACAAAGGCGGTGAAACCATGTTCTACTATCATAAAAAAAAAGACACTAGTGCCTTATATATATTTGTTTATATATATATATATATATATATATATATATATATATATATATAAAAACAAACCAATCCAGCCCCATAAAT